GGTACAGTCGACCGAGCCTTCCTCATCCAGCCTATGTTGTCACGTCTTTAATATTATCAATATTTTTTTTCTTGTTATACCCATATATTGAGATATTAATACTACAGTTTAATAAAGTAGGTTTTAATATTCCATAGATGTATTAAATAGTCCTTATACTACTAAATTATAAGTGGGATACTGTTTAATAAGGATAAGTTCTTTACAATATGACAACACCGATTAGTGGCGAGGGAGCCTATTCATTCATTTATTACCTTGTAGTACGCGTCGCACGTGTGCGGTAAAGCTTTGTTGCCACTATGTCCCCGGCTGTATTAACGCATTTTCTTAGCTTGTAGTCCTTAAGTGTTTATTTTATTGACTTTTTCTGTTCAAGAACTATAAAATATGGTTCGTCAGTGCCAAATTTGCAAGAAATTTGACTTAAATAATCCATTTAAGTCTTGAAACGACTTTCGACCGGTAGGCAACTCTGAATTTACCCATTAGGAGTCAGTGGCGTTGTTGTAGAAAGGCGCTTATTTAGATAATATTTTAGTAAAATGTAAAATCTGAATTTTTTCTCTTACATTACATTATTTACTTACTTACATTGTAACAAAATCATAATTATAACCCTGTTAATACTTAATAATGTTTTTATTAAAAATATATTCCGGTTTATTCTAAAATTATCTTGAGAATCTAAAATAACATACAAGAATTTTAAAATGATATTACATTATGAAACAATATTTTTTAATATACCGGGTCGTCTCAAAAGTGGCTCACCCCTATAACTTTTTTATTTTTTCAGATAAAAAAAAACAGATTTGTATGTTAGTAGGTATATGACATAAATTAGGATTTATTGACATATTCAATTGTTTTTGGTCTCTTCCTGTTTCACCGAATGATTACATCTTTTGATTTTTAAAGGCACCCTCGGTATATTGCCACTTTATTCGATAAAAAATGACACTCTGAATAGAATGACATATCATATGTCAACTTTTGACATTGTCGCTTAAAACATATCCTATTTTAAATTTCAATCCAGGGTGCCATGGTGTTGTTAAAAACACTAAGTTTTAATCAAGGAGCCTTGGAAAAATAGTTTTGATCGTCTAATAGGTTTCGTGTCTTGTCTAGGCCGGTTAAAAGATGTACAAATCGTATTTTAATCATACATATGTCAATTTTTTCAAATGGAACAAGGGACTCATTAGCTTATTTGGAAAAAGCATTTTTTATGAATATATTGATACCACACACTTGGTATTTCGAGTCAAATTGTCGTTATGAACCGCGTGTTACAATTACAATTAAACCATATGCGAAAATGTCAAAAGTTGACATATGATATGTCATTCTATTCAGAGTGTCATTTTCTATCGAATAAAGTAGAAATATACCGAGGGTGCCGTTTAAAAATTAAAAGTTATAGTCATTTCCGGTGAAACAGGAAGTGACCAAAAACAATTGAATGCGTCAATCAATCCTAATTTATTTCATATACTAACATACTAAATCTTGTTTTCTATTTGAAAATATAAAAAAATTATGGAGATGAGCCACTTTTGAGACGCACCCGGTATAATAAAGACAGTACCGAGTTAAATAAATGTAGTTTTTATTTTATCCACTTCCTATCACCTTCCTTGCTTTAATGGAACAGATTTATATTTTCTCTAATTTACATAATAAGACATCACTTAACCAGAACAAAAATTACAACAATCATATTTTTTTTCTCTCCCTGTCGCCGATTCTATTATATCTGTGGAATAGATCCTGTTTTGATTAATATTAGGGGTTGTAAATGTTTGACTAAAATTAATAATTTATTATTAATTTCAAAAATTACCTAATTTCGATTATAAAATTTCTTCTATAACGTGTATTTTATTATTTTTATCCTTATTGGACTCTAAATTGTTTTTTCTAAAGTTTTATTTAAAAAACCTGTCCTAAATCTTAATAAAATATAAAAAAGTTTAAATACGATATATTTTTAATTTAATTATAGCTTCATTAAAATAAAAAAATTACCCGGCTATGATACGGAGAGTTCAGGTGTACTTGAGAAACGAAAGACAGTGTTGTGTTTCTCGGCAGAGTCGTCAGGGAACGACCGTTACGACAGAGACAACCTATCTATCGCTCGTGTCGCACTCGTTATAACCTAAAACAATAACAAAAACAATAACACAACAATAACAAGACAGTGTCTGACCGCATGTTCCAGCTATTTATGAATGAGATGCTCAGTCTATATTTTATTTTAAGTCTATGGTTCTACCCTTTGACGCCCGGCCGCCCCCCTAAAACACCCGTTCGACTGCAGACAATGGGCGCTGATTGGTGAGACAATCGTCCGGTTTTTGCCACGTCAATTTGTTTTTGTGCCCGGCACAATGCACCAGGAGCGCGGCAAACAGTGCAGCGGCGCCCCCGTCAATTTGCCACCATTCACGTCGAAACTTACGCATCAGGAATTTTTAGTGACGCTTATTTGCCATTTCGGCGGATAAATATTGATGTTTGAACTGGAGGATAATAATGGAGTTTTAAGTGGTGTGTCGTGTGCGGTTTAAGATTGGATAATGCGGCAAATATGTACTTTTATGGATTTTGAGAAAAAAAAACACAAAAAAATTAGATACGGGAAAAGAAATAATAATAAATATGTTGTGATTTTGATAATTATAAGAAATGTTTGCTTTGTATGTTTTTGTGAAATTGGGATAATTTACAGAAAATACCCCCTTCAGGTTGAGGCCTTTGGTATTATCACAAAATTAACATACCGGATGCGCCTCAAAAGTGGCTCACCCCTATACCTTTTTTATTTTTTCAGTTAAAAAACGAGATTTGGCATGTTAGTATATGACATAAATTAGGATTGATTGACGTATTCAATTGTTTTCGGTCACTTCCTGTTTCACCCGAAATGACTACAACTTTTGATTTTTAAATAGCACCCTTGGTATATTTCTACTTTATTTGATAGAAAATAACACTCCGAATAGAATGACATATCATATGTCAACTTTTGACTTTTCGCATATGGTTAATTTAAAATTATAACATGCGGTTCATATCCAAAATTTGACTCGAAATACCAAGTGTGTGGTATCGAATTATTCGTAAAAAATGCTTTTTCCAAATATGCTAATGAGTCACCCTCGTTCCATTTGAAAGAATTTAGATATGATTAAAAATAGGATTTGGGCATTTTTTAACCGCCTAGGACAAGACACTAAAAACATTAGACGATGAAATCTATTTTTCCAAGGCTCCTTGATTAAAAATTAGTATTTTTAACATAGCCATGGCACTCTACTCGTTTCATTTCTTGGTTTAACGATCGATAGACGTTTGGATTGGCTTCACCATATTGAAGTACTGGCATCTAAAACTTCTCAGTTCTGCTATGCGCTGAGAGTAATATCGGGGTCCGTGGGGATCGATGCTGCTATGTCAGCTTACTATGCTTTTATCTATTCCAGATTTAAGTATGGTATTATTTTTTGGGGCAACTCCACGGAGGTGGAAGGGATATTACGAATACAGAAAAAATGCTTACGTAGTATCTTCGGATTGAGTCAGCAAGAAAGCTGCAGGGAGATTTTTGTTGAACATAACGTTCTTACAGTTGTTTCCATGTATATTTTGGAGGCTGTGGTGTTTGTCCTGGAAAACTAGAATTTATTTGGACACCGTAGGCTCGAACATGAATATGATACTAGACACAGATTACCGCTGGTTTCGGATAAATATAATTTCATCTTCAAAAAAATATAGATTACTCTCTAATAAAAATACTCAATTCCCTTCCGGAAAATTTTACCTTGTCTATGCCTAAAAACAAAGTTAAAAAATGCTTAAACATCTTTTTATGCAGAGGAGCCTTTTATTCCCTCGCGGAATTTCTAAACAGTGATAAGAGCGCCCTGTGTCATGTTTAACATCGATTGTATATTGTTGTAAAAACAACCACACCCGTATGTTTTTACTTTTGTTTTGTATCATTTGATCTAAATTTGTTATTTACTGTAAGTATATAATTTTCTGTTGTTATCTGTCTATACATACATAGATTTAATTCATTATTATTAGTATTATTTTCATAAAATATTTAATTTTAATATTACTATTTATTTTTGTTCATATAGTTTATTTTTTGTTGAAATATGCAGTTATTTTCTTTTAAAAATTTTTACTGACACTGTTTCCATGCCCTGTTTTGGGTTTCTTTTTGTATTATACAATAAGGAAATAAATAAAGCATTATCTATCTATCTACTTAGTTTTCAGCATTTTTTATATATCACTCTCAATTTCACTCTTTTAGGGTACGTATACATTTCCAAAAAATCACTTCTTAGTGCTCTATGACATTATTTAAGGAACCTCTGTGCAAAACTTCATACCCCTTCAACAGATTTTAAGAATTTTTTACACAAAGTTTCAGCTCTAATTTCACCTACTTTGGGGTTGAATTTCCCAAAATCGTTCCTTAGTGCTTCCTTACGTCTCTCAAGGATCAACTGTGCCAAATTTTGTGCTTCTAGGCCAAGCTGTTTCTCAAATAAAGACATTTTCTCATAAACAAAAGCAACTATGAAGCTCTTTTCCGAGTCTTTTTCTTTTCCCAATTAGGACGGAAATCTCCCTACTTTCCGAATGTGTGTCAAAACGACAAATATATCATCCACATACCTATATAACTACACTTGGAATAAATACAAAAATAAAGGAATACATACTCTTAGAAAATACTCTTGGAAAACTGATTTGTAGCCTTTACTTCAAAGCTGCTCATGAATAAATTAGCCAAAAAGGTTTTTTTTTCAATATCAGAAGATGTTGCGAATTAAATAAAAATATAGTGCAATCGGACAGAATTATTCTTTAAAATTTTGAATTGTGTATTAACAAGCATTAAAAAAAGCAGAGTAAAAATGTTCCATTTCTGAATGTTAAATCTTAAACAATCAGTACTGACAAGGTCGCCATTCTGAAGTAGGGAAGGGAAGAATATCTAAGAATGCGCGGTACATTTAGTTCGACCTTGTTCCGGTCAGTTTCTGATAACGACAGTGTGAACTCGGTACTTCAATAATCGAAGAAGCGAATTATTGTGATTAGAGGAATAACATGGCAGTGAGAGCGGTGATAACGGTGAGCCTTTTAAATTTTTGCAGTGCCAGTTATCCTTTATTTTTTGTTATTATTTTGATTTGTTGGCTATAATTATTTTGCACCACATTTAACTGGCTTTAATTATTATATTTTTGAGCTTGTAATTTCATTAAATGACATTACAGGGTTTTAATTTAAGTTTAAATTCTATTACCAAAAACGGCATACGAGGTCAAATGTCACAGATATTGATACGGTATGATCGAAAAAAAAACAGCGTCCAGTTGGCTTGGAAATGAACATCGACGATCCCCATATAATTTTGCATATAAAATGACAGCGATCTTCATTTCATAGCCATCGCTGACGCCGTGTTTTTCGAATCTATTGTATAAACTATACATTATATTTTTTTAATGGGTCCTTATTTATAACGCAAGTGTTAGCACATATTTTTCTCATTTCAAAAAGATATTCTGTTTATAAATGTTATCTAAATTTGAAGAAAATGGTAAAAAGAACGTTTAATAATTATGTCTATCATGCAACGAGTAAATAACAAGAAACAAAATTTTTAAATGTAATTTTTGATATAAAACTAAAAATATTTGAAGATTTTTAAACCTAGATATGTATAGAATATTTCATTTAAAATTATTAAACTGAAATTAATTTTTGGTATAACGTGTTATTGCTTAAATATCAAACTTGTTCTATATCGAAAAAAAATCCTATAGCAAAAATATAAGTAATTTTTGCTATAGATATCTACTATTCTCTGAATATAGGTAATATTATTTGCTATAATTACTACTGGTATCAAACATCGATATACAAGGTGTAAATTAATAATAAATAAAATCGTTTTTTTTTCAAACGTTACAAAAGTATTAATTTTTGCGACCTGATTGCCAATATAAAAAAGTCATTTTAATGCCTAGGCATAAAAGTAAAGCACTTTTACGCCTAAGAATAAAAGTACGGAAATATATTATTAAACTGACATTAAGTGTCAAATTCAAGGAGCGTAACGATAATTTCTGGATATATAATTACTTACAAGATATTATTTTTAATTTTTTTATATTATTTGCAACGTTTTAAATTGTTTAAAAAAGTATTTGTGGTCTTAACAATAGCATGTGCATGTTTTAAAAATAGCATGTTCTTTCAGAGTAAAAATGACTTTTTGTCTCTCCAAAAAATCCTTTATGGGTATTTCGCCACCGCACTGCAAGAAAATCTACAAAATAAAATAGTTATTTTTTGTAAACACTTTTGCGTTAAACCTAAATGGACACTGCTTGTCACAAGTTATGTTTACTGTTATACAAATTTGCCTAACAAAGAAGAAAATGCTTAACGTTTCGGAAAGTTTATCTCTTTCCGTCGTCGGAAGCAAAAAAAAAATACAAAGAATAAAGAAAAAAACTATTTAAAATATTTAAATTCAACAATTCGAGAACAATTTACTTTTTTAAAACAGATACGTCTACAAAAAACCGTTGACGTTCTGTTAAAATGACATTATATCAAGTTAAACTTCAAAATTAACAATTACTACCTGATAACAATTACTTAATAAGGTAAAACCAAAAAGCCCTTAACTTTCTGTATGGTTATTTTTAAATTTTACGTATATTATGTTTATTTATGTTATGTTCTTTAAAATCAAAGAAGCGATTGCCATACATTACTAACATCTACAGATGCATGAGCAATACATTTATTTTTATTAGATTGAATTAAAAAATCCTCTTTTATTTTTCTTTTAGAGGCTATCGCTTCTTTCATTTTACTTCTAATAAAACAATATACTATTTCGAAAATTAGAAAAAAAATCATAAAATATTCGATATGCAATTTCCTAATTGCCGATCTTATCTTAATTGCCGATTATCGTTTTTTTAATCCGCCCTTATTCACAGATTTCACACTGCGTAAATTCCTTACAGTAGTCATTGGAGCAGTCTTTTAATTATGTAAAATCATAAAAGATATTGTGGTTTCCATTGTGACACTTTGCTGATAATTAATTACTCTGGCATATTTTAATGAAAGAATATCATTAAATAAACTATTTTTCATCAATTTAAAACCATGATTTATTAGTTCATTAATAGAAATTAATAAAAATTGAGGGTTATTTTTTTTTATTTTAGTGTTATTTTAGAAATAAAAAATAAATAAAATACAAAATCCGGTTCAAAATCTATAAAACGAGATTTATTATGCATTAGCATCGAAATAATGCGAGGAAAATCCAACAAATCGAATTAGTTAATCGATATACAAAAACAACCACAAAAATATATTTAAAGTACATCGTGCACTGAATTTCTCACTTCTTTGATCGACTGAGATTTTCGTATAATTTAACGGGGACCTTGACATTCCACTCGCTGATACATTTTTTTTGAAACATTATTGTTTATTTTGGTTTAGCTTACCGTACCAGGATATGTAGTAAAATATTCTTTTTTTAGATTTTTCTGGTGTTATATTATATTGGTGAGGTACCGGCACAGCCCAGGCCTAATCCTGAACCTCCTGGTTTTAGATATATAGCTGCTGCTAAAGGTGACCCTCCACCATGCAAGTTGGAGCCGGGAGCAACGTATTGCGAAGAAGTTGATAACTATCCACTGTAAGTTGTGTTGGCAGAAAAAAATTGTTGCAAATATTCACTAATTTGCTATGTTTTGATAAGTGCTAGGATAGATGCATTTTGATTTATCGTTTACTCAATCTTAACTGAGAGAAAACATGAAATAATCCCTACTGTTGACAGTTCAGATTAGATATAAATGATCTATTAGATCAACAGGTGGAATCTTTGGGATCACAAGAAAATTTACGCAATGTAACCTCTCAATGTATCACAACCTTATTTATCACTTAATTGTCATGCTTTGCTAACATGCTAACATGGTTAGTGACAGTGCACCTAGAGGTATTAAAACTGTTTTTTTTATGATTAGACAGAGATATTTAGTTGCTAACTTTACCGTGTTTATACAGGGTGTCCCAGAAATAAGTGCAAGTATTTTAACTGGCAGTATAGTTCAACCCCAGAAACACGCCTAAGAGTTTTTTTCGCGAAAAAATTTTTTTTGAAAATTCGGAATTTCTTGAAAATTTTTTTGGATATTTTTTTAGTTTTTATCAAAAAAAAATATTTTTTTGATAATATGCCAACATAGGTAGAAGATTAAATTTACAAGAAAGAAAATCCAGAAAAGATCTCACAATTTTAACAAAAAATATTTTTTGTCATACGCTCCCAAAAACAGCTATTTTACGGACTCATTTCAGTCCGTAAAATGTTTCTTTTTCGGCCTAGGCCGTAAAGGTCGTCATGGCAACCTTTATGGACTAAAATGTCTAAATTCGTTATTTGGTTGTTTTATTTTGTCATTCGAAATTTGTCACAAAATCACATAAAATTATACATATATTTATAATTAAATTATTAAATACTAACAATATCAAAAGCTAAGTTATTTGTTTAAAGTAAGTACCTAGGTACCTATTTAAAAGAGGCTTTTAAATTAAAATATTCTTAAATTACAGTCACAAACAAGACATAATCATGTGGTACATTTTTGGCCTAAGACAAGCATATTTTCTATACAACTCAACTGGATTGACAACGTTCCCTTCGTTCACCACCGGAAACACTCTTTTGATATTAGTTTTTGTATCCGCAAGGGGTAACTAAAAGGCAGCTGTTGTCTTTTTCTATGATGTCTTGCACTCGTAGAGAGTACAATTCTTCTCTTCTACATGCTCCACAAAGGCCAATGACAAGAGCTACCTAAAAATCAAATACAATGGAATAAGAAACCATCTATATATTTTAAAAATCATTATCGCAAACTTACCTTAGTAAGTAAATAAGTTTCATCACTAGCCGTGGCCAAAAATCACCGATCTCTTTTATGGACAAAACCTTAGACTTTTTAGGCTCGTAACCAACCGAATTCCTCTTCAAAAAAGCAATAAGTTTTGGAAATTTGTCAATATAAATATCTTCTTTAACACTTAACACTGCTCTCAGCATGGAATATTTCGACCAAATTGACGATGGTTTGAATGTTTGTGACTGTAATTTAAGAATATTTTAATTTAAAAGCCTCTTTTAAATAGGTACCTAGGTACTTATTCGTGGATATTTATATATATTTCGTGGAAATAATTTAGCAATACATCTTCATTTACAACGAATACGCCATTTTTGTCTTTCCATTCATTAAAAACATCATATTCTTTCTGGTAAATGGCACGAGACTTCACAGGAAGTAAATCCAACACGATTTCTTTGGCCTTATTAGCAATATGTTCGGGATTTTGGAACATTTTAAAATTGTTGATGAATTTGTGTGATTTTGTGACAAATTTCGAATGACATGTCAAAATGCGATGAAATAAACAAACTCGTTACTAAGATATGAATTTATAAGCCAACTTTTTCAAACATTATAATTTCAAATATGGAAAATTTGCAAATATGCGTTCTAAAAAACTGTAAAAAGCGTATGACAAAAAATAGTGTATGTAACACGTACCTAAATTATGTTTTTTAGGACTCATCTACTATTTCGGACTCGGCTAACGCCTCGTCCGCAAACAGTAATGATTCGTCCTAAAAAACATCATTTTAGGTACTAGTTACATAAATAGCTATTTTTTTGGAAATTTTCAAAGTAAAATAACTCCGTTATTTTGGTCTTATTTGAAAAACGATAAAGAGAAAATATGTTTCTTTTATCCACCCCTTAAAACACTTGCACTTATTTCTGGGACACCCTGTATATCTAATATCAAATTAAAAGTATGTGTCATAAGCCATAAGCTTGGTGCATTTCAGTTGATTTCAAAAAATTTCGACCGCAGCGCTCTATACGGCAGAAATCGGAAATTTTCGCTATGTATTTCACGCCGTCCGCGTCGGTCGCGGTTATAGTTCAAGTTAATGGCATTAAATTAATATTGAAATCGTAGTTTTGTCATAATATTTAAGTGTTTTAGTTTTTTGCTAGTGCAGTTATTGAAACTATAAAACACTCAGGTACGAGGTTTGTGTGATGTACCGCTGGTAGTAAAGGTAGTAAAAATAAAGTAAAAAAGAGCTCGAACTGGGCGTCGCGTTATTTGCTGATTTTTTATTTATAAGTTTTTTTTAGTTTGTTATTATTGTATGAATAGGTATTTTACCAGATTTTCATTTAATATTTTAAATATTTACTTTCAGATGATAATAATAATGGAAATTAATGAAGTTATTTAGTAATAATTCGAATGAGATAATACAAATTCGTAGAATATTATTTAAAAACAATCAAATTAATTCATTTTAAATACGATACCAGATATCACTAGCAACATATTAATTATAAATATATTTTAAAATTGTTAAATAAAAATTATATCTTATCTATTTTTAACAATAATTGCAGTTCAACCAATGTCAAATTAATATTTTTTGGAATAAGTTATTAAATCTACATTTTAACGCAATCCTAGTTTTCATTTTAGGTAGGTATACAGAGTGTCCCAATTTTCCATGGACATAGAACTTCTACTTATTTTTGGAATCAAAATAAGTTCTTTGGAAACAATTTAGCTCTAAACAAGAGTGCTTTGTTTGTCCGTTAGAGACACAAAATATATTATGCATTATATTTTAAAAAATAAACACTTTTTTTAATATATTTATTAATTAGATTTGGGGTGCCTATGTTTTGCTAAGCACTTTAACATATTTATAATATTTACAAAAAAAAAACAAAAATCACAACCAAACCAAAACGGGAAGGGTGAAAACTACCTCCACCCTTACATACAGTTTAGTAGAAATATTTTCCAACTTCATCGACGACTGATTTTTTTTATTAGCGCATACTAGATTTTATGCGCATGTGACAAGATATATTTTTTGTAAGTCTGCTTTGGAAAAGGTCCTCAAAAAGTATGCGCGGTGGCGTTTTTACAAGAGACAAAAATGTAGTAAAAACTATGAGGAATATTTTATAAAAAAAATCGGTCGTCGGGGTGGAGTTATAGGGTGGGGTGCAAGGGGTATTGAAGCGATACATATAGCCTAGCTTACCCAAAAGTCAACCTCACCTTCACGTGGTGCACCCTGTTTACACAAACGAGGCTCTGACGTCCGAGTATAGGCGGTATAACCTTATACAACCCTCAGACCTACCATCTTCTGGGGAAAAGGAGTAATAAAATACACCTAGCCGGCCGAGAACGTAGCACAAGGGAACTATCGTCGCAGTCCTCACTGTGCCATAGCCATCCCGTGCTACAGTTGCAGCCAAACTGTGCGGCAGCGTAACCGCCACAGTTAAACCTTTTCACGCAGCTTACACACAGCAATGATGGAACATTCGAGTGGGACAAAATTATCGTCCGGAGGTAAAATACCCCCTCAATCGGATCTCCGGGAGGGGGTGCCTACTCGAGCGTATCATCGGAGAAACAAAAAACATCAATGTTTCACGTTCGCGGCGTGGAACGTCCGCACTCTACTGGACAAGACAAATTCAAATCGACCAGAGAGAAGAACAGCACTGGTCTCACAGGAACTCCACCGATTAAATATAGATGTTGCCGCTCTAAGCGAAACACGCTTTGCAGATGAAGGTAGTCTCACTGAGGAGCATTACACCTTCTTTTGGAAAGGTCATCCCGCAACACACAGGAGAATTCATGGTGTAGGCATTGCGATCAAAAACGAAATCGCCACCAAGTTAACAGAAGTACCTATTGGTGTCTCCGAACGTCTTATGACCCTAAGGTACCCCATATCAGACAAAACTTAAGTCAACATCATTAGTGCCTACGCTCCCACCCTTGACGCTAAAATCGAAGATAAGGATAAATTTTACCAAGCTTTACAAAATGCCCTTCAACGAATTCCAAAGCACGAACGAATCATCTTGCTAGGTGACTTTAATGCCCGTGTAGGCAAACAACAGGAAATATGGCCTGACGTATTGGGAAAACATGGAATGGGAAACGCAAATAGCAATGGTGAACGCTTATTAACAACATGCGCAGAGTATAATCTTTGCATCACCAATACGTGGTTCATGTTGAAGGACAAGTTTAAAGGTACCTGGAAACATCCTAGATCAGGCCACTGGCATCAATTGGACCACATAATCGTTCGAAGGACGCATCTAAAAGATGTTAGGCTCACAAAAGCTAGAGTAGATGCCGAATGCGGCACTGACCACCGACTTTTAATTTCAAAAATGAAAATCCAGTTAAAACCCAAACATCCACGCTGTAAAAAGCAAAACAACATGACCAGATTGAACGTACGGGGTCTAGAAAACAACAATACCGCCGACGCCCTCCGGGAAGCCATCAAAGAATCACTTCCACCGATAACTTCAATCTCAGTATTGGAAGCTGAACAAGGCTGGACACAATTAAGGGATGCGATTCATAAAACCAGCGAAGCAGTACTGGGAAAGTCGAACAAAAGAAACAACCAGACTGGTTTGACGAAAATCAACCGCATATACAGGCTTTGTTGGAACAAAAGCATAGAGCATATCAAGCCGTCACTGCAAATCCACATAATCCAAGACTGGTAGACAACTTTAAAGCAGCCAACAACACGCTTCGAAGAGAGCTGCGCCAAGTAAAGGATAACTGGTGGTCACAAAAAGCGAATCAGATTCAAGAGTACGCCACGCATCACGATTATCGTAAATTCTTCGAGGCTGTAAAAGAAGTATACGGCCCAAACCAATCATGGCTCAAAATGGCGAACTTCTAAAAGAGGAAGAACAAATTAGAAATCGCTGGAAAGAACATTACAGCCATATCCTTAACCAAGAAAACAACCCCAATATGGAAGCATTAAACACAATACCTCAGTATAACAGCCTCGATGTATTAGATATCCCAATAACAGAACAAGAAATAAAGACCTCCATAAAACAGCTTAAAAACAACAAATCAGCTGGCTGTGACGATATTCCGGCGGAAATCTATAAGTGTGCAAGTAAAGAACTTATTGGTCATCTTAATGCTCTCTTTGATGTCGTATGGGAAAGCGGAGAGGTACCTCAGGATTTTCGCAATGCGAATATAGTGAATATATTTAAGAACAAAGGAAGTGCATCAGACTGCGGAAATTACCGGGGAATTTCGCTATTGGCTATCGGCGGAAAAATTCTTGCAAAAATAATGTCAAACCGCCTGCACCCATATATAGAAAAAATCCTTCCAGAATCGCAAAGGGGTTTTCGTACCAACCGCGGCACCGTCGATTCCATATTTTCCATCCGTCAACTACAGGAAAAAGTAAAAGAGCAGGAGTCTAAACTTTATGTTGCATTCATCGATCTAACAAAAGCCTTCGACTCTGTGAACAGAGATGCGCTTTGGGCAATTATGGAAAAGTTCGGAGTACCCAACAAATTTCTTACAGTGTGTAAAAGCCTCCAAAACAACAAGTCAAGAGTGTCACATCATGGATCACTGAGAGACCCATTCCTAACAAATACAGGAGTTAGGCAGGGATGTGTCTTAGCGCCTCTCCTATTCAACATATTCATGGCAGCGCTCTCCATTATAGTGGACAGCAAACTGCAGGAGAGAGGATTGGGCATTAGATACTGATATGACGGCGGTCTGTTCAACATAAAAAGACTCAGGGCAAAAACACGTACAAAATTTATCACAGAACTTCAATACGCTGACGACTGCACTCTAGTTGCAAACACGGTACAACAATTACAAGAAATGTTGAACACATATACCTGGGCATACGAGGCTTTGAGCCTTAAGCTAAACATCGACAAAACTAAAATCATGTGCACTCACCCGGAAGATCACAACAATGCTATAAAAATCGGAGAAGAACTATTGGAATATGTGGCGGAATTCAATTACCTTGGCAGTTTGATTTCGGAAAAGGCCAATATTGACTCTGAAATTCAGCACAGGATTAGTAGCGCCTCAAGGGCATTCTGGAAATTAAAAGACAGGGTTTTCTACAATCATGACTTGAGTACAAAAACAAAACTTGCAGTATACCGAGCAATTATAATCCCCACCATGATATATGGGAGCGAAACCTGGGTGCCTTACCGCCGACACATGAACGCATTGAACAAGTTGCAACAGAGACACCTTAGACAACTCTTAAGAGTCCGGTGGTTCCATCATGTCTCAAACGTATCGGTCCTTGAAAAATCTAACTGCGAGAGTATTGAAGTCATGGTCACAAAATCCCGCTTAAGATGGGCTGGTCACGTATGCAGAATGCAAGAAAACCGCATACCAAAATCTCTGCTTTACGGTGAGCTTGTGGACGGTAAGAGGAGGCCGGGTGGACAACTGAAAAGATACAAGGACATTTTCCACGAAAATTTAAAGGGAATTAACATGCAGAATGAGTGGGAAAAAGCAGCTCACAATAGAACTCAATGGAGAAGGGTTGTAAACTCAGTTAACAGCGGCAACCAAAAAAGAGGCAACAAAGCAATGAGATTTTTGAATGTCCGGAGTGCGGTAGGCAGATAACATCACGTATCGGGCTTTTCAGTCACAGAAAAGCTCATGAAAGAAAACGCCTTGCGTGACCATTTTCTTTATGTGTGTCGAATACTCGTCAGCGAGTAACGGCTGTATATGTATGTATAGGGTGGAGAAATATATTTGTACGAAAATTTTGGTAGGGGTAGGGGTAGTTTTCATTCTTCCTGTACTTTTCCTTGATTTTTGTAAAAGTCAACTGTTAAGCACCAACCAAAATATAGGGTTGGAGTCCATGTTATTTTTTTAAAGTTTGATTCTCTCAAAGCACTTTTGTATACTATATACCGGATGCGTCTCAAAAGTGGCTCACCCCCTATAAATTTTTTATTTTTTCAGATAAAAAAAACGAGATTTGGCATGTTAGTATATATGACATAAATTGGGATTGATTGGCGTATTCATTTGTTTTTGGCCACTTCCTGTTTCACCGGAAATAACTATAACTTTTATTTTTAAATGGCACCCCCGATATTTATTTACTTTATTCGATAGAAAATGATATTCTGAATACAATGACATATCATGTGTCAACTTTGAACAATCTCGATTAATAAAAAATAATATTTTAAATTTCAATCTAGAGTGCCATCGCTATATTAAAAACACTAATTCTTAATCAAGGAGTCTTGGAAAAATAGATTTGATCGTCTAATGTTTTTAGTGTCTTATCCTGGCCGGTTAAAAAATGCCCAAATCGTATTTTTAATCATATCTTAATTTTTTCAAATGCAATGACTGTGGCTCATTAGCATGTTTGGAAGAAGAGGAAAAAGTGTTTTCCGTCACTTCCTGATTCTTGAATGACGGAAAACAATAATTGTTTTCCGTCATTCAATTATTGAATACATCAATCAATCCTATTTTGTGTCATATACTAACATACCAAATCTCGTTTTTTTAATTCAAAAAATAAAAAAGTTATAGGGGTGAGCCACTTTTGAGACGCATCCGGTAGAGGTAAATTGTGTCCAATGAACTTGATTTCAAAAATATGTAGAAGTTGTATGTCCATGGAATATTGGGACACCTTGTATACATATAATGGTTTATTTCTTTATGGAAAACAATATACTCGGGTATTGAAAAATGATCTCTAATGGATTATGATTTAAAGAATATTATTGTAAACTGATTCTATGAAGTACTAATTCCGTTGTTGGATTTAACATAGAATTAATGATGGATGATTTATTTATTATGGCATCGTAGAACCGGGAATTTAGGAATATTATATAATACTATTTTACTGATCAGACCAATTCTTTCATCTGATGTCATCCGCAAATCTCGTATCGAACTTTTCTCATAATTGGAAACTATAATATTGGACGGCAAACTGAAAAGTACCACATATTTAAGAGTGGTGGTGCTTTGTCTTTGAATATATATCGATATTTAAAACATCCTTATTAAATCATCGAGATATCGATAGTTTGTAATAGTAGAACATCGATGGTATACTATTACTATTGAAATACATACATCGATATTTTAGAAACTATATAAAATTCTATATAAAATAAATATTTTTACCACACAAACTTGAATCATAATTTAATTTATTTCTTGTTTTAGTGACCAAATACTGTATGCGCTTTCTAATACGAAATTTGACGTTGCCAAATTTTTGGTAGACGAATCTTTAGACGAAGGTCCTCGATTTGGCACTGAAGAGCCAGAGAGACCTAATAAATCGCTACCGTTGACTGATCAAGAGGTTGTCAAAACCTCCAAGTCACCGCAAGATGCTCCCAAATGGCCCTTTGAACGCACCATGCGACCACCGCCTCCACCGCATCTTTACAACAAGCACCAACCTGATGGTAAGATTTTCAGTTCATGTGTTTCCTTGCCTAAAATAAAATATTAGGATATTACATACAGATTTCTTTTATGGTATTTTCTCTTCTCTAATATTCTCATAAGTGGTAGAGATTCTAAATTGTATTGGAAGGGGGAGGGGGAGTTAATCACCGCAACCTTATAGATCTATTGTGTCTCCTTTTTTTTTGAGTTATAACTCATCATGAAGTCTCAGAGCTTTGACAAAAGCCAGTATCTGAGAGGGTTTTATAGAGGTTAGTTCTCCATTTTTTTGAATGGTTTTGTCGTCTCAGCGCACTCAGTTAAGAGGTGTTCTGGTGTTTCTTAAGTACGGTTTACTGAGACATTCATTGAGGAGACACTGCCCTGTTAAAAATTCCTTGATAATCCGAAGACTGTCCTTACTTAAATCTAAGGAAAATCTTTTTTCAAGTCCTGAGAAATTTCTTCGAGTGTCTAAGACGGTTGGAGGATTTCCATTCCAGGTTACGGATGGAATCTTTCAAGTAGTACCATTCTGGTCCATTTAGTGGAGTGTTTGCTCCTTTTCTAGCTAGATCGTTTGCTTTTTCATAACCTCTTATCACGAGGTGGGCTGGCACTGAAATGTTATTTCCTTGTCTAATTTGTTAAGCTTCTCTAGGCATTCTTTGACCAACTTCGAATTGATAATTAGTGAGTTACGCGTATCCCTGTTCCTGCTTTGGTTTTGATCCTTTTTCAGACGTAAACTGAATATTTAAATTATCGGTTTTGTGTTTTTTGAAATATATTTTTCTACAATTATGAGACACAGCTTATTCAGTAACAGCTGGTCTTGACTAAAATTTACTCAAAATATTTTAGTTTTGAATGTTTCTTCTAAATAAAAGTAATTGCTTAACTAATATTGCATCGGATAAAGAGAGTTAGAGCATCGGATAAAAATGGATCGGAAGAGATGATAGATAAAGCAGTCAAAATATTCTTCTTCTTGCGGTGCCGAACCTGTCTTCAGGCGATGGCGATCTCCATGACAATTTCGTTGAATAGGTATCTATCTTTTTTTATCCAGTTCCAGTTCCGTATGTTTCTCAGCCATGACAGTTTGTTTCGACTTACTCATCTTCCACCTTCGACTTTTCCTTGAATGATAAAATGATGAATATAGTCAGAATAAAACCTAGTGAAATAATAAAATTTCTTGTTCGTATAAGGCTAGGAAAGGAGGATTTGTGATCGAACCTTTGTTTCATAAAATAAAATATTACATAGTTTTACTATACCGCAGTAACACACTAAATCAGTACACTAACAGCTCGTTTTGATAACAATGTTACCATGATCATATATTAAAAATATTATACCGATTATGAGTATCACACATTTTCATTCATAATACTTGCTTTTCAACATCTATCGCACTATTACATCATTATGATTTGTCTTATCATCTGGGTCATTATCATCTGTTTTTCACGTAAGTTTTGTAGTATAAACAATGCATTAATATACTATTAAATTATGTATTATTATTGTAGGTACTAATCAAGAAAAACTTACCATGAATCCTATTAAGGATCCTTCAGAAGTCCCGAGAGGAGTTAGAAGATTTAAAAAGGCTATATAATGAAGAATATTTTGAAGTTTGATGGTTTGAAAATTTTTAATTTAAGATTTCAAGTATTTTGTATAATTGCCTTTGTAGTGTATAATGTCTTCAATAAAGTTTTATATGAAATTAGATTATTTATAATTAATAATAAAATATTCTGTACAATTTATATAAAATTAGTTTATATTATTAGCGCTATGGAATGTCATCTACATATACATATGTATATTCTAATAATGAAACAATATCATTTTTTTAAATAAATAGTTTCCGGAGAAATTCGCAAAATCATTTTTTATTTGGCTGAATACACATTATGATATCCTGCACTGAAAAGAAGTACACACTAATATAATAATAAATAGATAGTAAAAAAAGTATACACTATAGACACATTCGAAAAAACTATTTCAACCTTTATAAATGTTGGCGTGTGTGCGTCTCTGAACTGGTGTACACTGGTTTGTGTTTATATGGTTGCGAGTTGTTGAGGGCTAGGCTTTTTAATTTTTTCCTTCGTATGGTTTAAGATTACGATATCTGTAGCAGAGTAAGTACAGACCCACTACAGTAACTACCTAATATAGTTTGGGTCAACTTTCGTTTAGCCGAAATCTGTTAAAACAGGAATAATACTTTTTTGTAAATACTAATACGGAAATGAAATTCCGCGGAAATGCGCTGTTGCCATTTTTTTGAATACGGTTTAGAAGTAACGAAATGATATATAAAAAATTAATATTATTTTATCTTGTAGGATTATTTTTAAGCACCGATACAAAAATGAAAATCCGTGAAAATGCCTTGTTTCACCACTATGCAGTAATCTTCTTCCCGACCTTTGACACAGATTAATGAATAATATCTATTCTTATCAACTTAGTATCGCTATGGTCAATAAATGCGAAAATTTAAAAAAAATTGTCAATAAAGTATAAAAACGACAACTAAACCAAACCAAACTCTAAAAAAATAACCAAATCATACCAAACCAACTAAACCCACTACAACCAAACCAAACCGAAAGTATGCAAAAAAGTTGAGAATACTATGGAAAACTTCGAAATATTAAAGATTTTCCATTACACCGCCCTTCCAAATTTCCGCGGAAATAGTTATATAGAAAAGTTATAGCAAATTATTAATCAAACAAAAATATGTAGTTTTTATCTTCCTATCACATTTCTGCACTTCTAAACCCGGAAAAATCAATGAAAATGATTGTGATAAAAATATATTTTCGAATAAAAATTAGTTCACATCGCTATATTAAATGTTTTAACGTCATTCTATAATGAAAAAAACTATTAAAAACACCGTAAAGTTTTAAATTTTAGTTAATAATCGAAAAATTAAAATTTCGAGTTTTCTCAAAAACAAAGAATTTCCGCGGCAAAAATCAAATTATGTAGTGCTAGTTTTCTTGTATAGAATCATCCTAGAAACCGATATTCTTTGTAACTGATTTCGGCTAAACGAAACTTGAGCCTATAGTTATGATTTTAGGATATGTTTAGTATAAGTAGGTTTCAAAAATAGCTGTTGAACTTTTACTGGCGTAGTCTTAGCAAATCAGTGAATGTGAGCTTTTACTAGTAATTGTTAACAATCACTGATTTCCAACTTTTACTGTAACATATAAATAATGATGATGAGTCTTGATTTAATAATTTTTTAAAAAAGGCTGATTTTTTTTATTTAGTTATTAATATTTTTGACACTATCAAAACATATTTAATAATATCTTAGGATTATGTAAAGTGATCAAAAAGGAAGCTAAAAATGCAACATATACACGTGTTCCGTTTAAAAAAATAATCCCAATCCACTCACACTTTTTTGAGCCACCCTGTAGAAGTTAAAATACTTTCCTGAAATACATCCTAATACATACCTTAGGTTTGCACTTAAACAAAATTCCTAACTTCTTTATTATAGAAGTTACAGATGCCCGACGCACTATTGCCGAACCCTGTATATAAGCATTTCCGCGTTCAGTGTGTTAAAAAGTCTGTACTTAAGTAAAATAGAAACAAAGAAAAATATAGATAATTGTTTAAAAATGGAAAATAAAAACATACCACATACTCTAAATTTGTTTTTATATAGTAATTATTTACTACTTTTACTCTAAATTATGTGAGTGGTAATAATATAGTTACGATATGTTTCTTATTACTTTTTAGGTTATAGTTCCACTGCAAATATGATTCAACCCGAATCAACGCGATTTACAATACCTCTGATTCAACCCAAGAACCGGTATAGTATATAATTTCAGAACTACCATAAGATCGAAAAAAACGGCATCAAAGATTGCTTTAAAATAAAGATTCATATGTAAATTTGGACGCCTGTTTTTCGGTCATACGGTATATGAAACTTAGTTTACAGTGCGATTTTATTATTTCTTTTTGAGTTACTTTAGTTATTTAATTTATTTTCCTTTGGTAATTTATGTTGGAATAATTTACAGATTAATAAGAGAAAAACCACATCGTGATGCATATCCCAACATAACAGTCTCTTCCTTAAAGACTATTGTTGAACGTCGAATTAAAAGACAGCTAGAACCTGAGAAGCCATTATGTTCTGCCAGACTGAAGTTCGTTTATCCCAAGGCCGCTATGAGTTCTAGAACTGGAGAATGGATGTGGTTGGTTAATATTCCTCACGTTCAGATGACGCAGATGTTGAGAGCCGAGGTTTGCAAGTAAGATATTTGCAGTAATTGTCTGTTCAAATGCATTGAATAATAAGAGTCTAATAGTATTTTTATATTTATGAATTCGAGACGAAACTCAACCATTTTTTGGCAGTTTTCTTTAGCGTTTTATATGATATATCTGAATTTGGATTTTTTTTGTTGGGCTTATTTTATCATATTGCTTATTTATTTTTTTATTTGTTTTATGTAAAATGAACAAATTTGGGAAGATATTGTTTCTGGACTTGAATAACAGATTTAGAGATTGTTCCCAGCAAAATAAAACACTAATTCACCATAAAGGCGAGCGGCCACTGCGAGCGTAACTAAACTAAACTGAGAATATGAAAACAAACGGTAATTCAATGAGAACTCCACTGAGAACGATTTTCGCTCAGTAGTCAGCTAAGTTTTCGTATTGTATCTCTGCTATCATAGAACTAATCGCTGCGAAAAATTCGCTGGAACCTGTCACGAACTAAAACGAGCGAAACTAAACTACGATTCCAATCTTCGTTCATATATTTTCGTTTGTTTCGGTCAAGTAGCCGTTGACGCATTAAAAAGTATAGAAGCTGATTTTTACAAATCTTATCTTCGCTTAGTTTAGATTCGCTCGCAGTGGCCGCTCGCCTTAATACACCAAAATACTTTACTTTTGCATTGGACGCGCGTTTTGCTACCCTTGTGAGCATCGTCAGCAGATGACTAAAACTTTTAAAACGAATAAAAATATGAAGTAGGAGTGATACTACTATCGAACTCGAATTTCTCATGTAAAAAACACACAGACATCAAATATCAACGTTTGTTCAGAAATTATTTGGAAAATAATCAAAATAAAAATGAAAGTTCTACACTCAAATTTATACAAACTTTTTTACTTATTTAATCTGCAGAATATGTTATCGAAGTTTCTCCATAACAATTCGGACCACTATGTATAATATTATATAAAAAATGGCGTCCAGTTGGCTTCGAAACGACGATCGATGACATTCTCTATATAATTTTACACACAAAATAACAGCGGTCCTCATTTCCCAGCCATCTTGGACCCATCTCTCAGCCATTTTTTTCAACCGATTGGTACTTTTTTAAGTATTATCGTTGATTGAAAGAATTGGGAAGATACGCAACCTAATGGGCGAATTCGTGACTAGGCTGGTTTGATTTCCCCTTACGTCTCAAGTTCTGCGGTCAACGCATAAAACACTTAATTCGGCCAGCGAAAGCACATCGAAGACGGTGTGGATCTGAGAGCGATAGTGTTGCCATATTAAAATGTGTAATATCTGTTATACATTTGACGAACATATCTTTGAATGAAAATTCCGCATTTTTGCATTGAAAATTTATTCGTGTTAAAAATAAAAATTCTTTTATAGGTACTGAATATTTCGTATGAGCGAAAAAAATCGTCGTTTAGTTGGCTTGGAAATGACGATTATTATTATTAACATTTACCATAATATTTTACATATGAGATAGCAGGGATCTTTATTTCCAAGCCCACTCTGATGCCGATCTTTGTTTTGGTTTGGTATTAATCATATAATAGGTATTATATTAAATTGATTAAGGATGGAAAATCCGTATTATCAACGTATTGTACACAAATTCCGTAAATTTACGGATTAATCAGTAATTCTGGTAATACTGTCTTCGGCAACCACTCACTCTGTCGACTGAAAGCAGAACTACGGTACATTATTCATAATCCGCTGCGCTGTAAACGACTATCAGCGCTCAGCGGCGCAGAGCTAAACTAAATCTCGAGTCTCGGGCAGGCTGACGCTAATGCTAGCTACATCTCAGGTTATGTGTCATCATCAGGTTGTTTTCTACAGGTTATTTTCTACAGGTCTCAGGTTGTTTTCTACAGGTTTTGTGCCACGAAATCGCCCATAAGATTGCGCATCTTTTTATTTCTTCAATCAACGGTATGATTCATGTTTTAGTTCAGGTGTTGAAGGTAAAAGTTGCATGGAAGGAAAATGCGATACACCACTTGGATTCAGTTCAAAATGTGAGCAACACTATTTACAGAAGAGGCTAGTGACTTTAGTTCCTAATGGTGGTACCAAAGTAAATATACACCATATATCATCAAGTTATAAAATTAATTACAACTATTGTTCTGACTTTTTAGGTATACACTGACATGTTCTGGATACCAACTTGTTGTATTTGTCAGACTTATAAGATGAGTAACAAAAGATCTTAAGAGATCTTTTTGAGCAGATATATTTTTTAATTGTGATTGCGTTAGATTAATTGTATTTTGTGTTAATATGTGATACTTTTAAATTTTACAAACGACTATTGCACGTATGGAATTAAACAATGTTATACAAATTAATGTCTCTTTTTAATTAAATAATTATAATATATTATAACCCTCTAACCTCTAACTTAAAACGGCCACTAGTACATTTTTATAGAAGATTTAGATTCTGTTTTTAAACCACATTAACTTAACGGATTTGACGATTGACTTACAATTTCACAACTTTCCATGTATTTGTATAGAGATAGTTTCACCGATAACTACCTCGATTACTGTAACTAAATAGTTATTTACGATATAAGTGCTAAAAGTGGTATTTTATTTTGTGAGAAGGGAAGCATGTAAGTTTGTCCCATCCCTTCGAACAAAATAAAATCACTTTTCGCACACATATCATATACTATTTTTTCTACCAACAAGTTTATGCTCGTATATATCAAGGTATTATTACTTTTTACGTTAATGAATAATTCATAATATGTCATTCTGAAATCAAATTAATTATGAAGTTTATGGTTGCTAGGGTAACAATTATCGCTTCAGTGTTAAAAGTAAATCACGTGACTTACTTTTAGCACCAGTGCAATACTTTTACCATCAGTGACATAATGTCACATTTTAAGCACTGACAGCATACGTTAAAAATTACATTTTCACTGACGTTTGTAGAAAAAGTATATTATTTAAAATAAATCTGAAATATCCGTATTTTTCACGGATAATAATTTTCATGTTAAATTTTCGGCCATCTTCAACAAAATCAATGACTTTTGCACAATTTTCGATATTCAGAACAATTCAATATTTAAGAACCATATTCAATCTTATACAACAATAATCAACAAAGACACATCGTCATTATTAAAAATAAAATCAAAAAGTAACGATAATTGAAAAAATTGCAAAATGTTTGTGGCAAGTTCATTTTGCTCTTAAAAATTAACCAAGACATGTGCTGACATGCCTCAAAAAAACAAAATATTCAGGAGACATCGTTTTGACCGAAAAATTAGGTTTTAGCAAGAGTTGCCTAAGAAAATATTGCACATGGTGTTTTAAACATAGGTTAAAAAAACAACTCTTCGATTAACCCTGTATAATAAGTCAAATATTATAGTTTATAATAAACTGAGTTTATAAATTAAAGTTGATATATTTATAAACAGTTTGCTAAAAACATCAAGGACATAGGGTTAAAAATAAAAGTACTCACCCTGTATATTTATGCAAATCTTTTGTAAAAAATGTAAAGTCTATAAAAAAATCATGTAATGTATTACATTGAACAACATTTGCTAAATTAAATGTTCTATATCCTATTTTGGTAAAAAGCAGAGAAGCCGACTCCTCAATTGGCGTGTAATATAGTCAGTCACTTTTCTCAGGCTAAGTTTAGCTGCGAGGTTAAAATCACAATATACAGTTTCTCTTCCTTAGTCTAAATACAAATAAAAATCGCATTTAGAACCGCACAAAAACCGAATGGCCGGCAGCTATTTGCCGTACGACACCGCGCTATTGACTCAAGGCACAAGGCGGCTCTTTTATTGGACCGGACGGTCTCTGTCCGTCCATTCTTCTGGCTCAATAAGACCCTTTCGTTGTTTGCCAGCAAATATCCAGAGCTGCCGTTCGATTGTCAGTGAAATGATACGTTGAAAATGGTTCGTTTTATTAAAAATCGGAAAAAATATGATTAAGCTTAAAAATAACAATGCCTTTTATCGTCGGATTATCATATTACTATCATCATTATCTTCAGCTTATTTAAACATTTCGAATTATGGTGTAGTCTCCCTCACATATTTAGATACTTTCTTGGTAGTTGGGCCCATTGTTGTCTATTATTGGCTAAAGACCCAACTTATCCCTGTTAATTTCCTAATATCATAGTCGCTTCTCAGGTTTGGCCTTCTTCTAGGTCTCTTAATTCCTCGTGGACACCAGGCTATAATTTTTGTGGTCCATCTGTTGTCTGTTCTTCTTGCCAGGTGTCCTGCCCATTGCCACTTGGGGGATTTCATTCTGGGGATGACTCTATTACCTGGGTCTTTTGTCGTGTCCACCCTATCGCTTTTGCATGCATAGGTCATGACTGGTAGTACACATTCGTCAAATGTTTTCTTCTTTATATAAAGTGTATAGATTTGAATATGATTGAGTTTCTGCCATAAATACTCCATGCTAACTTAATTCTTCTATTGACTGTTCACCTAATTCTAAAACCACAAAGCAACTACTAATGTTCAGCAGAGATAAAGTGCGGAAACAAACAGGTTTCTTGGAAGGAAATACAGCTCTCAAGTTGCTACCTGAACAAGCTCAATCTTTATCGAGAAAGTCTTTGCTACAGAATCTGCGATAAAGATACTGAAACAGCAGATCACATAATGTGTCCTTATGATGTTCTAGATCGCAAAAGATACTTTCTATTTGGGATAACGAAGCTAGAGAACAGTAGGAACAGATACACTCATCTTATCAAAGACCTGCGTAGGCTGGTGCGCATCATTGAGATAGAAGATTGCTTGCAGACATAGAAAGAAAATAAATATAATAGGACTTATCAAACGCCGTGTTTCTGACATTGTACTTCACCTTAAAGAAAAAAAAGTTTTTAAAGTCTATTCAAACTTCTTTACGCGCGATGGGAGTTAAAAATTCAAGGCCGTGGCACGACACGGCCTTGACGCGCCAGCTAGCAAGAGAAAATGTGGTAAGTCAATGAGGAAGTTGAGATAGATCTCCGGTCCTATCTGAGCTAGGGAGCTGAAACTTGGAATGTAAAGCGGGTCGAAGAGCCCCATCTTTTAATGATTTTTGCTGACGTTTCGTGCACTACGAACTCAATGAATCAATGATCAAATAAATCGTCCGATTTAAATGAAATTTGGTATGTCGATAGATTAGGTCAAGGCCAACTTAACCGTGTACGATACGTGTCACTGTGACAGTTTTGACCTAAGAAACGTTAAAAGTTGTTTGGATAGACTACGTGAGTGTCGCTGCACATGGTCCCACCCTGTTTCGTTTACATCTTTATCAGAGTTGGAGCCAGGATTTGATATTGAAGAAAAATGTAAGACGATTTCGGCATAATTGGGGACGGGCTACAGGATGACCCCCTCGACTTTTCGAACCAATGCTTCTAAATGGACGAAATCTTCAGGGTTTTTCTTAATTATTATGGATCGATTGGAACCAATTTTGGCACGCGGATAGAGGTACCCGAATGAAGTCCTCAGACGGAGAGAGAGTAAGACGGACAGAGTGACATACAGTTCGATGGTAGTAAGTAGTTTCACTTCAAATATGCGCACCTAGTGCACACACAATTTTTTGAACTAAAATGATAGACAACAACCTCATTAGAAGATTGCTCTTCTGCGGTATTAGGCAAGATGTTAAAGTTTGTGACACAAGTATTAGCGACTGTTCAGTTGTCGCATAAGATGTGTAATTTATCCGAATGAGTAATAAAAGTTATTACAAGTTAAGCCTGGTTCAGACGCAGCCAGTAGTTTAGTCATGTGGTCGACTAATTTAGTAACTTGACCCATGTGAACACATTTGTTTTAGTCGAGCTCACTGGCAGTCGAGTAGCACGGTCGAGTTTAGTAAATAGAACTCTATTCTATTTTCTTGGTCAAGTAGCAACTCCCACTACACAGAAATGCCAATACCGCGCCAACTAAACACGTCTGGACAGGCCGGGAGAGTAGTTTAGTCGCTGCGTTTATAGTTGAAGGATCATATTTGTGGTTTGTGATGAATATTTATTTATTCATAAGACTTTTTTGGAGATAACCCAGGTCCACTTGTCAGATTGCTTTAAATCATTTACGATTAAATTGAGAGTAATATATGATATTTGTAACGAATATGTGAGAACATTTTTGGGTTATTTTAGCTTCGAATACTTCTCTTTGGTCTGATGCTTTATATTTGATTGCGGCAAAGATAAAAGTCTAAGACAACTAAAAAATTATCAACCGTCAGAGTACAAAGATTCACGTACCTACAAATAGATATTCTAAAATTCTACACATATAATGTCTTCAAGCAATAACCATAAAACTTCCAAGTTATTTTTATTGCGCAGGAGATATCTCCGTTAAATAAAGGTGGCTCATTTTTGTTCCTACACTCACATAGCAGCTACATCAGTTCTCTATGTTTGACTCCATTTTCCTTAGATGATAATAATATCTAAGTAGGAGAGCTAAACCTATTTGGGTTTGGTTGGATTGCCATTGGCTCCATTTCCAAATCAAGTATTTCATTCCTAAAGAGAATTTTTGAATTATTCTAGTATAAACAAGAGAACTAACTGACCTCACCTCGTATCACATTTATCCCAATATTTATACAGTTCTTCTGCCAGCTTATGCCGTTAGATCGGGCCCATTTCTGCCCTTCACAATAAATAAGTAAAAGAGACGCGCCATCGGTCAATCTTTCCGGCAGCGTTCGACTTGCTGATTCTATTCTCCCTATTTTAAAAAAGCCCGTCTCTAGAAGACGCTTTATCGTCCTCCGTCCCTTCTTCTTTATTATTTTCTTATTCTCTTTTTCATTTTTAGCCGACGGCGAGAATAACGCCGTAAACTTTCCGAATCCCATTCGGAATTGTGACTTTTATGTCGGCCAAAAAGCGGATTGGGTTGGTTCTTTAGCTCGACCATTATCTCCAACAAAAGCAAATATAAACGCAGAATGTAGCCGATGGCGTTGAGTCCAGGTTTATTTGATTCTTTATATTTTGATTGCAACAAATATAAGTCAAGTAAAAGATTCAGTGGTATCATTTAGTAAGTTATAAATTTAATTAAAATTTAGTTTATTTTGAAGGGGATACACTGTACAGGATTGGTATGTATCTGTACAATTCTAGCGCCTCTAGAATATGTAGAGCTTCCTGATGACACAGCATACATTAGTAATTTTAACGGACCTGTAGTGTTACCTTTTAATATTCGTTTTTTTTTCATTTCTTCTTGTGCCGTGTTATTAGAGGTTCTACTATAACAATTGAAGGGGCGACTGCAATAACCAGGCAGTTCCACTTTTTT